CATATGTAACACATCATTAGATAAGATTAACTAACGAAATTGTATTTCGGTCAATGGTCAAATTGTAATCCCCGTGTTTGTTTTAAATCATGGGTCGTGGGTCATGGGTCGGGGGTCAAGTATGACGACAATCCCACTCCAGCCCACAACATTGATTTGTTGCACTGGCATGGGTTCAGCGTTAATCAATCCCCTCCATTTGATCTGGAATACCAAGGTCGTGCTGGGAACCACGTCCATCATGGGGTTATCTTCTCGTGCTCCATATCATTAGTTGCACATGGCGCCACCAGCCACAGGACACAAGGGGCGTTGGAATTATTTTATTTTTTTATTCACGCCCTTTTTTTTTCTTCTCTCTGACGTGCACTACTTGATGCAGTGGTAGCTTTCTGGTCACAGAAGGACTTCATGGTTGTCGATCGATCTTCGGATCGTCATGAGATCTCAGATGAAGTATCGATCATGAAGTGGGGGATTCTATCAATACAACAGATTTGTACCCACACCGTAGTGTTCTCAGAGTAGGCGCATAAAAATCGGTATAACATCATTACGAGCTATGGTGGTTGCTGAAGAATGCCCCCTTTTTTCCAAACGTTTCCTGATGCATCTGGGGTAGTGGTGGTGGTGGTTGGGGGGAGACCGGGAAAAAAAAAGGGGGGGGGGTATTCCCATTTGGGAATCTTCTAAACAGCGTGACTTGAATGCATGTAATTTTCAAGTAACAAGTTCCCGCATTTTGGGCCGTCTTTGTTTGGGCGGCGCTATGGCTAGTCGAAAAATAACCTTCTAATATTACAATTTCCCAGTTTTAGTGCCTTGTCCGGGTGAGTTGAATGCAACCTTTTTAGTCGGTGGTGCGAATGAGCAACACAGAACACAGAACACAGAACACACAACACACAACACACAACACACAACACAGAACACAGAACAAGGAACACAGAACACAGAACACAGAACACAGAACACAGACCTTCCGTCCAGTTGTTGCCATTGTCGCCGTTTACCCTATTTTTGTCAACGTTGGGGGGGCGGGGTGGTGAGGGGGGGGGTGAGATCGTTAGCTGAATCTATAACACAACGGTCATGGGCACATCAAGACATCACCAACGTATTACCGAGCCGATTGACCATTAGATTAGGCACTTTATTCCAAACGCACATGATAAATAAATAACTCCACCTGTAGTACAGGTGGTGCTGGGTGGCCGAACGGTCTAAACTGAGCAAATCTCATGTTGGTGGTCTGGCGTTCCATTTCAGCCAAAAAGCACAGTCACGCAAAAACATCACTGGCACTCTGAATTCAAACCCTGAGATGGAAACACTCCGACAACTCCGTGCGACGCCTCTGGTGCCATCCACATGATGATCTCAGCGGCGTGGAGAGAGGCAATGTGTTGTTTGGAACCAGCTTATATAATCCTAGAACACTAATCCCAGGTCTTGCGGATTTCGTCCTGCGAAGTCTTTACCATCGTCACATTGTGACGGATGGATGCCAGCACACAAAAAAAAAAGTACCTAAAAAATATGTATCTACTCACTACTGAATGAAATAAATAGATTGCTTCCGTTCTCGCGATTATTACACACTGAAACGTGACAGGACCTCTTCTAACATGGCTGCCCTAACTCGTCTTGTCATATCTCTACAGCAAATTCGTTTAAAAAAAAACATCAAAAAAAAAAAAAAAAAACAACCCTTCGCCACAAAATACCATCCGTAACACGGCTAAAATTTGTTTCTGTTGATTCGTGTAGAGCAGTGATCCCCAGATGGCGGCCCGCGGACCGGCACCGGCCCCTTAGGATACCGATGTAATTCTGCACAACATGAATATTTATGTTGTTTTGTTTTTTTTAAATCTAATAATGGATATAAAATAAATCTGGCACCGGGTTGTAGTTCAATTTCGAATGTTGTCCACTGGTCGACACTACTTGACAGTTTGGGAAACGCTGGTTTAGAGGACAAACCTATCATTTCTCGATTCACGATTTGAAAGGGAAAAAAAAAAAGAGAGCGATCGATAGACAAAAAATAGGACAAGAAGTAAATGAATGAAATCTCCGTGGCCTGATTTCTTGTCTCCATGTCAAATATGAGATGCTTGTAAAAGGATGAGACCAGTTATCGTCAGTCTGCAGCCACATAATGGCGTTGTTCTGTCGTTGTGTTTTTTTTTGTTTTTTTTTTGCTGTTATTATTGTTCCATTTCGTGAAACTTAAAACTAGCAAAACAGTTCTGTTTTAAAGAAGAACGCTGCTAGATAGTCAGCGTGGCACTAGCCTGTGTCTTTATGTTACTATTTCATGTGCTGTTAGCGCGGCACTAGCCTGTGTCTATGTTACAATTTCTTGTGATATCAGCGTGGTTACAGCATGTGTCTATATGTTACTGTTTTATGTACTGTTAGCGTGGCACAAGCCTGCTTTCATATGTTACGATTTCTTGTGCGGTGAGCGTGGCACTAGCCTGCTTCTATATGTTACTATTTCATGTGCTGTTAGCGTGGCACTAGCCCGTTTCTATATGTTACTATTTCAAGTGCTGTTAGCGTGGCACTAGCCCGTTTCTATTGTTACCATTTCATGTGCTGTTAGCGTGGCACTAGCCCGTTTCCATATGTTACCATTTCATGTGCTGTTAGCGTGGCACTAGCCCGTTTCTATATGTTACTATTTCATGTGCTGTTAGCGTGGCACTAGCCCGTTTCTATATGTTACTATTTCATGTGCTGTTAGCGTGGCACTAGCCCGTTTCTATATGTTACTATTTCATGTGCTGTTAGCGTGGCACTAGCCCGTTTCTATATGTTACTATTTCATGTGCTGTTAGCGTGGCACTAGCCCGTTTCTATATGTTACTATTTCATGTGCTGTTAGCGTGGCACTAGCCCGTTTCTATATGTTACTATTTCATGTGCTTTCTGTTGGAAATTGACAAAATACTGAATGTTGCGCATTGTTTTGCACACCAAATTTTATTGTGTATTGACGTCACGTTGTTATGCAGTCCTTGTCGAAGACTCCTTGTTGTTCTCTTAAAAATGAAAACGTTGAACTAACCTTGATGGTTGCCATTGCTTGTTTCATTATCTTCCTTGTGAAGTGGATTAGCAACTTATATATTTTGAAGTGGATTAGCAACATAATATTTTCAACACTTTCATCGTGGCACAAGGCTTGAGTCTATCTATTACTATACCATGTGCTGTCAGCCAATTTTTAAGTTCGCAATATGCAACACACACTGGCTGCCGTATACTGTTTGTAATTTAACAATGCTGAGAATGCGCGCACGTTGTAATATACTGTAACGGATTTGAGCCACTGCCAGGAGCGGTGTCAAATGTCAAACCGTCCGAAAGGTGTGAGTGTACGGCGGGGCACCTTCACATATTTCAATTTGTCTTGAGGACATTTTCATATTATGCATTCCCAAATGTCCGGCCCTGTTTCAATTCAGGTATGCTGATAGTTTCTGCCTAACGTTAGCTCGAAGAAAAAATTAATCGAATTAATTAGGGGGTCATAAGATGAAGGGGAGATGTTGAAATATCGCCTATATTAGCGCAACGTCATGGGTGGCTCTTTATACAAATGGGATCGAGTAAAAAAATTATTAAAAAATGACTCATAAAAACCACTGACTATGGTGATATATCCAGATAGGAAAATAAAGGTTTTTCCCATTGGCATCTTGATACTGGTGCCGAGCATAGAAATAGCAACGGTAGGTAGCGAGTGTCTGATGAGGAGAAAAATGACAGTGACAACAACTAACTTAACACCAGCTTGGCCAGTGGAAATACAACATCCTGGCTGTCAATGGCTGGCCTTACATGACAACCACTGGCTGCCCGTACATGACAACCAATGGCTGCCCGTACGTGACAACCAATACATGACAAGTGGTTATTCTAAACACATTTCTAGAATCCCTATTTTTTATGACGTAGTAAATACATGCCCCATCTCATAAATCATAAGGCTATGAGTCCCAAAATCTTAAAATTGCCGCTACCCCACGCCCCCCCACCCCCCACCCCCCAAAACAATATATAAAAATCCTAAACTGTTGCGTTCTGGCCTGTGCCACTTGTTGAGAAACAACTCTAACCAACGCTAAGGGAGATAACCTTTGGCCGCGTAGCTGCATTTAGGGCAAAAAGAAGATTAGTCCACTTTTAAAACGATCGCGCCTCTGTGTTAAAAGGTGCAACTATCCGAAAAAGGTATGAAATTTGGTTTTATTTGCGCAATGTTTACATCAACGCGTGTAACTGTTTCAACCGACATTACGGAGGACTTGTTTAATGAACTCAAAAGTGGGGTAGTTTATTAAATGCACTATGAAAGACGTTTCGATGAATTGTCAGAGGGCTCGTTCGTAAATTACATCACACAAAAATTACCCTTTCAGACCCCCCCCCCCGGTCACAAAGTGTCAAAAATCAAATACTTTAACCCCCCCCTCCCCACCCTTTTAGTGGCAAGTCACTCTTTAAAACAAATTATCTTTAGAAATCTAGGACTTAAAACGAAGAACAACAAAGTCATTCCCGAGCCAAATGTAACATGGCCACAACAGCTTTTGCGTCATTTTTCTTTCTTTTTTTTTTTTCAAATAATATGTGCAGAAGGTGTGCGTGACTGAGTTTCACGGTACCTATTACTTGAGGCGATTTCGACCTCAAATTATTGTTGTTAAACTTAATTAAATAAAGTAATTTTTTTAAAATTAGAAAATGTTCGATTGATTTTTTTTTTATTAATTTGTGAGGTCACAAATTTTTACCCCCCCTCCCCTTTTCCCCTGTCACAAAGTGTCACAAACTCTCGACCCCCTCTTCCCTCCCCCCCCCCCACATACACTCACACACACCGAGCGTTACGTAATTTTAGAATGAACCCCTTACTTTAACAAAAATATTCTACAACGTACAGCAATGGCAATAATAATTACTAGTAAAAATGAACATAATGACTCTCTATTTGTTAGTGCCTTAACTGTAAGCGGTGCGCAATGCGATTCATTCCTTTCGTCGTGCTTACATTTAACTCACTTCTCTTGTTATATACTTTTAAATGTCCCGGTCTTTGGAAGCGGCTTGTGTTCTACTTCGGAGCATATGCAAACAAATGTATAATCCATCATCGCTGATTCACCAAGACGAATCCACACCTTTTATTTTTCCAGATCTTCCTACATCTTTTTTTTTAATCCAGTGGTTCTCAACATTCCTAATGCCGCGGACCTTTAATACAGTTCCTCGTGTTGTGGCGAACCCCAGCCGCAAAATTATTTTAGTTGCTACTTCATAACTTTAGAGCATATTGTCTTCGGGTGGTCTTAGGCGACTCCTGGGAGAGGGTCGTGCAACCCCCAAAGGGGTCACGACCCACGGGTTGAGAACCGCTGTTCTAATCAATGAAAGACTGCGTTCCAAGCTGCGTGAAGGAATTGGTGAAACAAGGTGATGTGGAAGCTTGACAGGACAGGGAAAAGAGAACTTAAGTTTTTTTAAACTGTTTTCCTTATTCTTGTTGTTTTTTCATTCTTCCTGGATGCTGAGGAAGGCTCTTGGTCGAAACCTTCTTCTTTTTACAGCCCTGTCTTTTTTAATTTCAAGCGACCGCATAACCTTGTTCCAGTATCGCCTACTGGCTGTACGAATATTGAAAATAGAAATAAGTAAATTTCCTAGCAATGAATCCCGAAGCACTCAAAGTGTTGACGTCATGGTCACACGTATAAGGGAGCTAGGCCTGACGGAACAATTTCCTGAACGCTCGTGTGTATGACGGATTGCATGTCAGGTAAACAACGGTGTTGACGGAGCAGTTGATGACTTGGGTGACGAAGGCCAGGCCGCTGATGACGTGAACCGTCAGGCTGAGCTTCCCGGTAGCGCGAAGCTCAAAGTCCATGTACAGCGCCACCATGACGCCGAACCGGACTGAATTGCAGACGAAACATATGATGGCCAGGACGGTCACCATTCTGGCCAAGCGCATGTTTTTGTTCTTCGCCTTTAACTCCTCCTTAACATCAGCTCGCTGTGATTTAGGACGATGGTCAGCGGCCCTGTCTGAGTCCATGGCAGTTCCCGTGTCAGACCTGGAGGTTATCTTCATGCGTCCTAAGCTAGCATCTGAGGCGACACCTGACGTTCGGCGAGTTTGTACACCCATTTTTCTTGTTAAGGCCTTGGCATTGCTCTTTTCTTGGAACTCGGCGGACTTCACAAGTCCCGTAACCATGATCCCGCTTGTGATAAGGATGAGCGTTAGAGACAGCGAGGCGAGAAAAATGTTGTTCAAGGGCTGAATATAATCGTCAACAACTTTTTTGCGTGGTGAGTTCCACATTACCAGCCGAGTAGCATTGGTCCTGGGGTCAAGGACGGGGCGAAATCCCGCGAACGCGAAGAAGAAGACGTGGAGTAGAAACGTGAACGTGTAGAGAAGCGTCAGCACGACAACGGATCTGCCGTATGTGAAGAGTTCTTTGAACCGGAAAGGCAGCATGACGCATGCGCATCTTTCAAGAGAGATGAAGACGGTTGTGTACGTGGACAGATCGTAGAAGCAGAACTGACACTGGACCAACAGCACCCAGACCGACAAGGGGTCCAGGTACAGGAATGTCCCCGTCGTCGCTGCTATGCTGTAGGTCAACCGGCACCAGGCCGACATGAGTCCGAACAGAAGGGAAGCGTTGTCCGTTAAGCTGAGAGAGAGCAGACACAATGACATGCAGTCTCGGACGCCGAGTTTGAGGAAAATAACCGTGTTGATGATGTTGAAGATGAGGCCGGGTGATCCGATCACTAACGATATCGCGGGGGAAGAATATTCAATGTACCTGAGGACGTCATCGATGACCAAAGCTTGAGTGCTGCCTAACTTTGTTACAGTTGTGTTACTGCTGGCTGTTGTCATGGTTGGAAAACGGTTCCTGTCCATGCTTCACATCGGATGCTACTCTACGAGAGCCACGTCTTTGAATTCATTATTCTTAGTTGTTTCTGGCTTGTTGTTTTTTTTTTGCCTGCTGATGAAGAAGGCGTCTACCCGAAACTTTTGATTTGATTGCCCTGTCTCTAGCCTTCAAGATTTAACACATCTGGCTCTATAATTTCCTCCCACTAGTATTTACAAAGTTCGATCAAAGACTGAATTCTTTGTACTACTGTATAATTTCTTCCATGATAATGTCGTTATATATTAATGTGACCAAGATTAAACTTGATTAAACCTAAATACATTACAAACAACAAAAGCTCCGTCGCTGGGTTCAATTTAATTCGGTTCTGTATGATTTTTTTTTTTAATTATCGTAACTATTTCATTTTCATCTCTATAATTCAAAACGAAAAATCACTGCCCTCCTTTACTAGTCTTTTACGTTAGTCCCGGAAGGGGTCGCAGAGTGTGCAGGGAAATGAAGTTTGCAAATCAACGGCCAGTTTTGACGTTAGTTTCTAGATAACTAGATAACAAAGAGATGTCATCGATGACACGTGTGTTAATTACACCATTGATTACATGGGAGGTGAGGGGAATCATTGATTTTTGCACATTTTGTTAGAACTAATGGAGGCAGCAACATGATGTAATTTTCTGAACCTTTTAATTCAACAACTGTGGGGTCCATACTTTTTTTTTGTGTGGAAATAGATAGAAATGATTTTCAATGAAAAAAAAAGATAGATATGTCATTAGTATTTTTATATTTTAAAGTAAATATTCACCAAAAAAAATGTACGTTAGTACATGTGTGTGTCTAAGCGTGTCTGTGTGTCTAACATCAAAATAACATTCGTGATGTCATTATATCTAATAATGGTTTTACTTTTTGTCACTTCTGTAAATGATATCAAAACATTTATCTAAGAAAAAATTAACTGAATTAAAAAAAATGTGTTGATATAATTGCAGAGCATTTAGCTAACAATGTCATAACACTAGGATAAGTCGATACATAATAAGCGCAGCTTTGATGATAGCAATTTTGTTCTGATAAGAGTGGGAAAGAAATATCGTGCAGCTTGCGCCCTCGGCTCAACCTATCACAAAGACGATGTCCCTATTCACTGAAGTCTTTGTTAGAGCATAACACAAAACCTGTGACACCAGTCTCTTCGCGTCATCAGATGTCTAAGGCGAGTCCATAATGTAGACTTTGTCTTGAGCTTTTCAGGGCTTCTGGACCTTTTAGAACTTCAAAGTATTGGAGACCTCTGAAAAATTTCCACGATTGTCTAAGGCAGGCATGACAAACCTGAGTCCGTTTGCAAGCACAACTGTGTCACGCACTTAGGATCCAGTAAAACGGGCATTTAAAGGCCAACAATTAATGATATCAAGTGTTTCATTACAAAACTAAGCGTATGGAAGTAACAGTTGTTAAATTTGAACTTAGGACTATTTGCTAAGTGCAAAAAGCTGAACATACGCTGCCAAAAATACTGAGTCTGGACTGAGCTTGGCGAAATATGTCGGACGTATGACAGGCAGTCACTTGAAATTGCTGTCAAAGGAGTTTTTAAGACTGATTTCGAGATTTCTCTTCTTTTCAGCACCATTTTTTGTATTATTCTCAGAACCAATCGCCTTTGATGATGTCAAGGCAGACAAAAGATTGCTGATGGAGCTATTAAAAATGCAGAGAGATTCTACTCTCAGAAAAAATATCTTGAGCTTTGGATACCGGGGGTCTTTTCATACCTAGGCGCTTTTCATACCTAGGCGCTCTTCATACCCAGGCGCTTTTCATACCTATGCGCTTTTCATACCTAGGCGCTTTTTATACCTAGGCGCTTTTCATACCCAGGCGCTTTTCATACCTAGGCTCTTTCATACCTGTGCTATTTTCATATCTTCCTGCAAAGTTTAAACTTCAGTTTGCCACATGGATTATGGCAATGTTCCGTTTTAACTAATGTGTGTCAAAAGTTATTTTCCTTCATGAAATCAACCAAAACTTCTCAGAAAAGAGGCCGACTGGTCAACTCTTGTCATCTCTTATGAAGATCGAACATTCCAGCCAAACATTACAGCCCTGACATTTCATCCAGACATTTTAGCCAGACCTACCAAAAGGTGTCAAATCTCAGGACTAGCACTAAAATGATTCTTCTTCTATATCTTAAGGGCCCACGATCAATTTATTGATCATTTTGGCTCCTATGCATGTAGATGGGATTTGCAATGTTTCTGTTACTGGTGGTGATGAGGAAATTATGCACCAGGGGTTTGAAGGCTTGAGGCAATAGACACAAATGTGTCTAGTGTTGTCGCCTCAACTGTTCCTTTTGAAAGATGGTTCCAGTCCCTGATTGTCTTGGGCAGGAATGAGCAGCTCCTATACTGGCTTCTTGCTGGTATGAGCCTGAATTGCCTGTCATGGCCTCGTCGCTGTCTATGGGGGAGAGGGACGAGTTTCTGTTTAATACTGGAACAGTGGACCAGCCCATTATTTATCTTGTACATCATGGAGAGCCTGGATTGTCGTCGTCGTTTCTCCAATGGTGACCAGCCTAGTGTTTCTAGCATGCTGCCAACACTAGAGGTATTCCTGTAGCGGTTTAGGACAAAGCGTGCTGCTCGTCGCTGGACCGCCTCCAACCTGTCAATGCTCTTCTGGGTAAATGGGTCCCAGACTGAAGATGCATAATCTAGAATCGGACGGATAAAGGCTTTATATGCTCTTTCTTTCACACAGGAGTTGCCAATCTTTAGATTTCGCCTTAAGAACCCCAAGGCTTTGTTTGCTTGGTTACATACATTGTTAATATGCTCGTCCCAGCGGACCTCTCTTTGAATGGTAACACCTAGGTACTTTACGGAGGAAACTTGCTCAAGAATATGGCCGTGCAGTTTGTATTGGTAGTGTAGAGGAGGATTGAACAGTCGTACAGAAATGTTCATTTTGAACTATTGCAATTTTCGTACAATTATATTTGTTGCTGTTTCATACAAGTCGGTGTTGATGTTGCATAAAAGTCTATGTTGCTCTTGCATACAAATCTATGTTGCTGTGACATAAATCTATGTTTCTGTTAAAATGTCGTTATTTTTCTTTCTTTCTTTGTGTCAAACTGCTTCATCACTTTGCATTCATGAATGTGGCTAGCGGCTGAACCATTTGTATAGGTCTTGTGTAACCATGGTATCTTTCTAAGTTTAAATAATACAAATATTTGGCAATTATTTTTATAAAAATGGCTTCAGTTAGTTTTCGTGTGTGGCCCTCGTGACAATCCAAATGTGACCCATGTGGCCCTTGGGGGACCGAACTCAGTTTTACATGCCTGGTTTAAAGAGTATTTAAGCCAATGAGTTTAATTAGACCTCGGGCGTGATTTCTTTAAATTTTTAATTTTAGATTATTACGCAATACATCTTTCAGATTTTTATGGCAGATTGCCTTTGATCAAATAGGGATTTTGAGAGTTGTTTCTAAATTAATTAAATAATTCCTTCTGTATCGACGCCTAAACCTGTTGCCCAGATCGCAAAAATAAAATGCCTAAAGGAAACGAATTTTTTTTTTTTAAAGTTTAATGAAGCATTTAGGCCAGCCTCAAGTAAACGTGATAGGTTTATTTTCCTTCACAGCTTAGTTCTGATGTAAGTGAACTTCATGTGCAAAATCATTATCTTTTATCTTGTAATTAACTTTTTATTTTTAAAATAAAAAGTTTACTTGCTTCACTTATGGTGTTTTTTTTGTTGTCTGTCCGTCAAAAATCGACTAGGACCATCGAGTTATCCGGGGTAGAGGGGGGGGGGAGGGGTGGGTTATGGTAAGCTCGTAGGCGGCTTGCTAGACCGATCATGGCTCGGAAAAATCTCTGGCACCGCCGGCAGGGGATAGCTGCTGCAGTCGGTGATCTACTATTGCTCTTTCAGGGGAGCTTGCGTGTCTCAGCTGTGGTTATCCTACTGGCTTCGTGAGACTTAGCCCATTTCTTGACAGCTGTTCTCCAACTGGCTCTGTCCTGAGTTGTGTGTATGTAAAGCTAAGGGATCACACAAAGAAACGGAGAGAATTTTTAAAAAATCAAACAAACATGGATCACAATGCAATTTTGCAATCCCCAGATAACAGTGTTTCTGACCTACGCCTGCAGCTACGCGTCCGTCTGGCTTATCGTGTTGGTCTCCCACGAGAACTACGTGAGAATCGCCCGGCCGGACAAGGTGAAGGTCTGCTGCACGCCACGGAGAGCCATCACAAACATCTGCATCGTGTTCTTCAGCGCGGGCGTCATCTACAACTTTCATCTCTGGACGACCCACGTCATGGTGGACGACGACGTCGGGGAGACGCTGTGTATGCCACTGAAAAGGTGAGACCATGTTTTTGGCGTTAAAAAGCTGAGTCCATGTTATCAAAGATGAGTCCATGTTATCGAAGCTGAGTCCATGTTATCGAAGCTGAGTCCATGTTATCGAAGCTGAGTCCATGTTATCGAAGGTGAGTCGATGGTATGCTTTTAAAAATGGTGAGTTCATGTTGTACATGTTGTGGGCCTTACAATGGCTAGACCCTGTTGTGGTGGTAAAATGGTGAGTTCATGTTGGGACGATAAAATGTCTGTACATGTTGTGGGCCTTACAATGGCTAGACAATGTTGTGGTGGTAAAATGGTGAGTTCATGTTGGGACGATAAAATGTTTGTACATGTTGAGGGCCTTACAATGGCTAGGCCATGTTGTGGTGGTAAAATGGTGAGTTCATGTTGGGACGATGAAATGTTTGTACATGTTGTGGGCCTTACAATGGCTAGACCATGTTGTGGTGGTAAAATGGTGAGTTCATGTTGGGACGATAAAATGTTTGTACATGTTGTGGGCCTTACAATGGCTAGACCATGTTGTGGTGGTAAAATGGTGAGTTCATGTTGGGACGATAAAATGTTTGTACATGTTGTGGGCCTTACAATGGCTAGACCATGTTGTGGTGGTAAAATGGTGAGTTCATGTTGGGACGATAAAATGTTTGTACATGTTGTGGGCCTTACAATGGCTAGGCCATGTTGTGGTGGTAAAATGGTGAGTTCATGTTGGGACGATAAAATGTTTGTACATGTTGTGGGCCTTACAATGGCTAGACCATGTTGTGGTGGTAAAATGGTGAGTTCATGTTGGGACGATAAAATGTTTGTACATGTTGTGGGCCTTACAATGGCTAGGCCATGTTGTGGTAGTAAAATGG